CCCATGGAGATCTAAAGGCTGATTTATACTCAGAAACCAGGTCGTCTGCGTGTGTGTCGCAGTGAACGCAAACATGCCCCCGCCCCTTCCGCAGACACTCTGATGCACCTCTCCTAAATTGTAGGCGACCGCAGACAGTGCTGCAGACAGGAGGCCTCTGATTGGTCAAACCTATATCCGCTCTACACTATGCGTATGTCCTGTTTGGTACCGTACCGTCTTGTTTTGTTTATATGACCGCCATTGTGGAAACATCTCATGAAGATGGATCTGTAACGCGAACTGAAGGTTGGACCCAATATTCAGCAGACAAACAAAGTTTCAAAACAGGTTCATTTAAAAAAAAATAAATAACTGAAAGAGGACGATGGAAACTCCTCAGAGCGGGTTCTCTGATTCTCTGCTGAGACAGGAAACTCAGGTCAGTGACAAGAATAAAGAGTGGAGAAGACAACAAAAGGTCACTGACCTGGTTGAGAGTTCAGTTCGAAGCTCAGAGAGGAGAAACCCAGGGGGAGACAGTCCACCGCTTGCGGTCATTACAGCTTCAGAGAACAGAGTGTGGGGGAGCCGGCGCCGGCCGACACAGAGCGAGCTACAGTGTCCGTGAGGGATTATGCGAAGCTGAAATCCAGTCCAGAGCAGTGACAGAAACCAGGAGATCCGAGAGCCGAAGAGGTATCCAGGGAGAATCCAAGCTGAGGTCAGAAAAACAATCCAAGTTCGATAACAGGCAAAATCCAGGCAGTCAGGCCAAAAACCAAAGTGAGAAGGGCAGACAGGGAAAAAGGCAAAGATCAAAAACACATGGGCAAAAAACATAGAAGAATTCCACAGAACAGAACACTTACTTTGACAGCTTGGGTAACTCACAATGACACAGGTTGAATAATCTGACGCTGATGGCAGGAAAGCAAACAGCCTAAATAGCTGCAGGGACCAGGTGAATCAGATTGGCAGTAATCAGCCACAGGGCCAATTAGGCAGGTGAGCAGGAGCAGAGGAAAAAACCCAACCATCAGTGCCAGGATTATGACAGGACCAGCTAGAAGAGCGAGGTGTGCGAGAACGCTAGGAACCTTTTTCCACCTGCATCCCCGCTCTTTTTCGCCCTCATGTCCCTCCGTTGTCGAACAAACTTGCCCCAAGTTCCTCACCGCCTCGGCCGTATCTAGACCCACAGCCAAGTCAACAGATTGCTGATGGGTTTGTCAGAACCATCTTGTCAATTCTAGAAAGTATTCTAATATGCTCTTAAAACACAAAATGAAC